GTTATTGTCATGTTTGTGTACTAAGAGTAATCCAATGTGATATTATTATTGTATTCAGCATTGCCAGTGTACCGATTCACCCATTCAGACATTAATTTTGAAGAATAGTGTTACAATGTAATAATAATAATAATAATGAATACACTTGATCATAATATACACAATAGATAGTACATTATAATACATTGCTAATGACTATACACATTATAAATTGTTGGTGAATTCACTTGAGATGGGTAAAGTGTGTGTGTGTGTGTGTGTGTTAAACCCTCCCTCAGATTAAGAACACAAGTGATGATTTCTCTGTTTCTCTCCATCTCCCTCTCTCTCTCTCTCAGGTGCAATGTATTGTACGGTGCAAAATGTCATGGGCTATAAATTTCACAGATTTTGTTAGGATTAGTAATCAATCAAAAATATTTTTATTGACTAAATCTATAGTTTACTTTATTGATGTGCATTTAGAATGGTTTTATATTGACGTTAGTACTTAGTGATGTTTTAAATAGAATAAATTATTAATAGTTATTATTGCTTGGGAACGCATAATGAGAACAACATACAAATTGAAGTAGGTTATTGCATACAACTACATGTATATACAATTCACAATGTTTGTGCATGTATAATTATTATTCCTAGGGCACATCTTACTACTCCACTTACCTTATAAGGTAACTTAATTATAATAGTGGTGGAGTGGCCCTGAACAATATATCAACAAGCAAGCCAGCATTAAGAGGAATGTTTCCTATTATTTTAGGTAGGTTTATCTCCATTCTTCTAGTACGTGTTTATTTTTATTATTAGACATTAGCAAATTAAATGAGATTTTGCAGATATTGAAGCAACACAAGTTTCCTGAGGCAAAATGGTTTGAATTTGGATTGAATATTGGTCTCCTTTATCCTACACTGGAAACTATTGAGGCTAATCATAGAGGAAATACTTCACGCTGCCTGATGGAGTGTTTATCCAAGTGGCTGAGTAAAGCTGATGAAAATGTGCATCCTCCTACTTGGCAGACACTGGCTGGTGCTCTTAGAAAGTTAGAAGCAAAAACAGTGGCTGAAAATATTGAGAAAACAGGTAAAGTCAATCCTGATTTAATATAATTATTATAATACTCATTATTTAGTGATTAGCCAGCTACTACAGCATTACAGCAGTAGAATAACTCAAGCAGCACTCTCTGAAGAATCAGTTGATCTGTTACTTACAGAAGGACTGATATCTGAAGAGACATTGAGGGAAGTGAAGAGTTGTGGATGCACACTAACAAATAATGCAATGAGAGAAATATACACAGTAGCTCATGATCATAGCAAATTGAAATCATTTGCTAAAATATTATGTAAATCTGAAGACACTGTCAATATGGCCAATGAGTTACTACAGGATATTGGTGAGTATTAATTGAAATCCAATACATGCTTATTTTATTTTATTTTTAGGGAAAATTATTGTGTCTGAAAGTTTGTCTGATTGCACTAATGAGCCTTTAACCCAAGCACTTGCACCTACTTCAGATATTTCATTTGAAGCACATCATGCAGCAAATTATGCCCCTACAGCTAATTCAAGTCCTCAAACAGGTATTGTTATTCATAGTACATTAGAGTTATAATTGTTACTGTAGAGATTCAACTTTATATTACACAAATCTATAATGATCGCTTTGACAAAATGACATGGAATTATGGGTCATTTTATTTCAAAATCACCCGCTTGATATCCACTAACATCACTCTAGACCAGCTTGAAGATTTTAAAGAATACATTAGTTATTGTTGCTCTGACCTGAGCCCACAGCTAGCTACTGCCACAACAGTAAAAGATGTCATGAAAGCGATTAAAACCAAATGCAATGTCATTAATATCACACCAGTAGAGGAAGTGGTCAGCTTTTATAGCATAACAGAAGCTAAGCCATTGATATCTGATTATAAGACAACACTTGATGAGTTTTGTCACACTTTCAAGCTTCAATTCTTGCTTGACAAAAAGCTTTCAACAAGTGATTTTCTTGTTTGTGAAACAATCGAGTTTGTTCTAGACTGGGATCCTGCTGAGCACATACTAAGTGATATCCGTCGTTTAATGGAGAAAGCATTCATTGGACTGAGCAGAAGAATCATAGTCAAAAGCATGCATAAAGGCAACTCCATCATTATCATTTGTGGTGCTCCTACTCACCTAATGAATGCTTTGCAATTGAAGGCTTGTGATAATCTTACTGTGCTGCAAGAAGAATTTGCTTTGATAAGATTAAAAATTGGACACTGCAAAGTCTATGATAGGACCATCAGAAACAAAGTATAATATAGTAAATATACTAGAGTTTATGTAAAATTTTATATATTAAAGGAGCTTAAGACTGTTGCAGAGGAGATTCAAATGTGTGAAGGAGAATTAATGAAGCTCAATCCATACCACAATGACAAAGAAAGTATGAGATGAAGTTTTTTGCTTACAAAATAAAATCAATGAATGTATTTATATATAGGTCTTCTTGCTAGGCAAGCAGCACAACTTATACCTTTAAAACACAAGCAAGGTAGGGACATTACATTAACAGTTATAATAATCAATTATGATGTTTTTAGAATTTCTCGACAGTAGCATGCAGGCATCAGGTATATATAGCATAAATAATTATTATTGCATTATTTAATTATAATGATAAAGGATTTAAATCTAAAGTCAAACAAATGGAAAGAGAAAAGGCTGCAAGTACAAAAAAGCGAATGTTATTAAAAGAAAATCAACATTTACAATCTACTCTAAGAATCAGAATAAGTATGTACATTCCTTACTAGTTTCTAATATTATAATACATGTATTTTAAAACAGGACAAAAGGAAGCACTTCAAGAAAATGAAAGAGTAATTGGGGAACTAGAGGAAAGTATTTCATCTATTAGTGCACAGATGCTTGAAATGAAACCTCCTTACAGTAAGCATATCTTTATTAACATTCTAATCAGACAACAATAGATAAAAAAGTTAAATCCACACAGACAGTGCTATCATCCAACGGATCTATCTGTGTAGCTGAAGATGATTACAATGACACTGCTATTTCATTCAAAAAGGGTGAATTACTTGAGTTAAGTACAAATGGACATGAGGTACAATCACTGGAGACTGAACAGAAGAATGTTGTTCCAATGAAATACATTGGATACTCAAGAGTAGAATTACTTTACTTGTTTCAGTTTGCAGTGACAGCGTCAAATTCACCAATTTTTTTTCATGATGATGATGATAAAGAAGAGTATTTTATACAAAAAATTACTAATGATTCTACTCTCCTACAATCATTAAGGAAATGGATTTCAAAGCAAAAATGTACGTAAAATGTATATGCACGTTATGCAATGTAACTATTTTCTAAATAGTGTTTGTGGCTTGTCAAAATTTTGAAAAAGTACAGGAATTAACGTTAAAAAAAGGTTAATAATAACAGCTAAGAAATGATATGCAGAACATTGCATTTTTTATATAGGAGAAGTACTTAGAATTGCTGAAAACAGCAGTGATGAATGGTGGTATATACATTCACTTCATACAGGCAATAGTGGCTATGTCCAAATTAATCATATGCTACCGATTGAAGGGGAATACTCAAGAATGTAAGAAAATTGGCCAAAATAATGGAAAGAATATGATCAATAAATGTATATTCCTTTAATTTAGATACTACAAGTACATCTACTTTCATATAGCGGATGCAGAAAAGCAATTGAAAAAAGCAACCGCTCAAGTAGGTACCTTTTTAATTAGAAATAGTAAAAGCAATCCTGTCAAGTATACTCTCTCACTTAATGATGGATTTACTATCCGAAAATTTCACGTATACATTGAGTTTAATAAGTATTATATAGACTCTCGTGTAAGGTTCGATTCCCTCAATGACCTGGTACATCACTACATGATGGAAGCTGATGGTCTGCCCTGCTCACTAACAGTTCCTATACCCAAACAAAGAAACATGCCCATTGTAATGAATAAACAGTCGCAAATTGACAAGTTATTACTGGAGTTTTCAAATTGCATAAATGCAGGACAGTTTGGAGAAATATTCAAGGGTGATTGTAAAGGCATCGGGCCAGTTACAATCAAAACAAATATAGCAACAAATTTTACACAAGAAACATTTCTTGAAGAGACTAACATGTTGGAAAAATTCTATCATAAGAACATCATCAGTCTATATGGTATTTGCATTGAAGACTATCCTTTTTATATTGTAACAGAACCAATAAATCAAAATCTAAGGAATCATGTAAATATGAATAAACTTACACTAGCAGAGTTAGTGGATATTGCTATTCAAGTTACTGATGGTATGATATATCTAGGAGAACAAGATTATATTCACTGTGATCTAAGAGCTGAAAATGTACTATTAAGAGACCATCATAACACTGTCAAGATAGCAAACTTTCATTTTGCTCTGCACCTCAAAGGCAAGAAATACTGGACTGCTGAGGAAGGTACTACTAAGCTAGCTGCTCTAAAATGGATAGCACCTGAATGGCATACTTTAAAGCGACTAAGTATTAAATCTGATGTTTGGTCATTTGGTATATTACTATGGGAAATGGTTGCCAAAGAGAAAAACGAACTGTATTCTGGTATGACTAATGAAGAAGTATGGGAAGCAGTATTAAAAGGCCATCATAAGTTCATACCAAAGGATTGTCCAGAACCATTTAAACAACTTATGGCAAACTGCTGGAAACAAAATGATGATGAAAGGCCCAACTTTAACAATATCTTGGTTGATCTTGTCAACCATAGATATAATAAGCTATATGAAATAAATTTTTGCTTTTGAACTTTAAGATTTAATTTATGTGCAAGAGTGCTTGCTTTAATACAAAATTACAGATAATTAGTATTATTGTTAATGCATAGCGTCTTTCCTTTCTTCCTGCTCTTACTTCCATTCTCCATTTCATGGGTTTTCACCCTCCTATATGTATAAGTCTCTTCCTATAAGTAACATCAGGCCACGATGGAACTAGCCACTCCGGGCCCCTGTGCAACGAAGAGGTGGGGCCAGACTACAATCGAACTGATTAATGAATCCCATAGAAACCTCTACCTCAGTGTATAACCTATACATACCTATAGTAGTTCTATGAACTGGCCAAGTATTTGAGAACATCTTAATAATTATGATTAGTTGGTAGTGCAGTGACTGGATGTTTATTAGCATCGATAATTACGCATTAGAAAATTTAATAAAATTTTGGGTAAATTTGGAGCCAATTCCTAGAAATGCATTAATTTTATACAGCCCCTGGGACATAAATACTCTCATAGATATTAACTGGGGCTCTAAAATTATTCACCATGCCTAGTATCAATTATAGATATTAATGAGCTAAATGAGGCCCATGTGTATTCACGTGGGTAAAGGTTAGAGTAAAGCAAAGGCTCCTTTGACTGAGTGAAGGTTCAACGGAAGCCGAGTATAGAGACTGACCCAAGTTAGACTATTATGTGGCAAGATATAGGTTACAGGTACTCAATTAATGTCATTTGTTATTGGTAACTGTAGTCACAGAGTAAAAGAGAGATACAGTAACTGTGTAGAGGTTTTTCCTTGTCATCTAGATTTACTGAATGTGCACAAATGTTTTAGTAATAATATAGGCAACACTGGATACAAACAAAACAGCAATAATGAGAGCTTATTGAGTGCATATAGGATTAGTAAAACTGGTGGAACCCTGAATAATGATGACCAGTAGGGAAAGTACATGGATAACAGAGGAATACTAGTAGCATGGATAAAATAAGTAAGATGGGAACAATAGAGTGAGTAGACACTATAGGAACATGGATATAATAACAGCCACAGGGGAATGTCAGATTAGACTGAAGGTGGCTTTTCGCTTCTTCTCCGGCACTACACTTTAATGCCTAAGCTACCACTGTCTCTAAATGAACATAGAAGGGTGACTAGCGACTAGATCTGAGACAACAAGGCAGTTCATCAGTGGACCTAAATGTATGGTAAGTACACTTTTGCATAGCCTCTATAATAACATTACAGTAAATGCATTGTGGCTATAATGGGGTAGTCTCCTTTATTCCAACTACAAAACTGAATAAAGTGGAAGTAAATACATAGTGAGTAATTTTGTGGAGTTCAATAATTATAAATTGCACATTTCAAAAAACAAAATTAATACAACAGTTAAAACAACTAGTTCATTCACGAAACTGATGGCCATGTTCATATGTGTATTCTCAAATTTTCTTTAACCTACAATATAATAATTGTCAGAGTACATTGTGCATTGTGTACCAAGTACTACACATAAACAGCATAATGAGGGCATCAAGTGTCAATAATAATTTAGGGTTGACAGGAAATTTCATGTACTTGTACTTGTATACACACACAAGTTTACTCTAAATAATTTTATTTAAAAAATTGTTTCTGGTTATTGAACGAGAAATAGGAGAGCAACATTACATAATACATGTAATAATTCATAATGACTGACCTTGCTTCCTCAGCCTCTTGTATTTCTGATCTCTCTCTGTCTGTTAATTCTTTCATTTTCTCTCTACTGTCTCTAAATAATTTTAAAAACAGTAAAAGTGTAAGTAATAGCATGAAGTTACCCTCACTGCACATGCAAATGCTGTGAGGAGCATTATAGTTGTTATTACTTGTAATATATGACACATCCATCATATAGTGAAAAGTGCTGCTTCAGTCTGAGTGAATACTTCCATTCCAACTGATTTTCAATGTTAAGACAAGATATTTTAAGTGGGAATGATGTACTCTAAAGAGACAGAAAGAATGCCTTCTTTACTATCAATTATTTACCTTTGCATAAGTGATATACTCAGCAGAAACTCCACTTAATTCTGACAACTAAATGTATAAAAAAACAAGAATAAAAAACGGGTCCATTCTCATGCACTCATTTATACCAAGACAGTGATTGTTTACAATATTTTAGATTAAATTAATTACTGTAGTGCCATTGAATAAAAATGTAACAAAAAGTTTTTAAGCCACAAAAATAAATTTCATTGGAAATTTAAAAAACAAATATTTAGTAATTTTTGTTAGTAAGTAATTTAGTAATTTTCATGGGGTATTAATTTTCATTAATTTCACAGTTCATTTTTATCCACAAAATTTTAACCCCTACCACCCACACATAAAATCTAATTAACGGGCCATGCAGAGCTCTAACTATTATTTCCGAGGGGTCCGCAACTCCTATTTTAGGTGTACGAGATTGAGAGATTAACCAGATTTTTGAGATTATCAGAGATTATTTGAGATTATTTGGAAGATTACCAGAGATTTTTTTTGAGATTTCCAATAATTTTTTGGGATTATCAGAGATTTTTTTGAGATTATTTATTAATTAACTACTTTATAACTTTTAATATTTATTAATTAAAGCTAGTTAACCATTATAACTATTAATAATTATTAGTTGAGGTTTAATTAATTTTAATAAACTCCGGATACTAGCAGATATGGTGAGATTATTTTGAGATTTTTAAAGATTATCAAGGATTTTTTGGGATTTCCAGAGATTACTGGAGATTTTAAAGATTAACAGATTATTATAGATTATTTTCAAGGGTGTACGGGATTATTTGGAGTTGCGGACCCCTCGATTATTTCCAAGCCAGTGGAGGAGCCAGAGTCTTTGATATTCCACTATAAGCCATGTATTGGAAAATACATGTAGTGCTGTACATCCAAGTGAAAAGAAGTTTGCTAATTGCCAGCTACGAATATTTGTACCCACAAATATTAGCCACTAAGGAAATTTTGGAGCCTGAAAACACGAAATATTGGACCCTTGAAAATTACCAACCATATGGTATAAGGCAGTTGAGAATGCAAGACCACAGAGTCAAGCAAGTCATCACAATTTAAGGTAAAGCTGCTGGTTACTTTAAACATTAAATACTGTAAATTTTCCGTAAATTATAAAATTCTTTTTTGAAGGGATGAAAAATTTAAAACATCTATTTGCATTAATTATTATACACTATTACACTATTACATGCGCTAAAATGAAATTGCACTGAGTAGAAACGAACAAGACCAGTGTGTTGAGGAAAATACACCAAAGAGTTGTTGTCATATGTACGTGTACATGTATTTACATTATTGTTAGTTATATTATTATTAAAGTAAAGTATTATCATTATCTAATTATGTCTTGTAGAGTCTTGTACCTTCTAGGACTCTGTCTTATTCTTCTAGAACTCTCTACTTTAGAACTTTCTACTGTGTATACTCTATTCTAGAAGATTTTCTGTTGTATATAAAGAAGTGGTTTTGTAACATTTGCCGTCTGCTGTTGCTTTAATCATTCATTTAAGTTGTTGTTTATCATTAAACCAGGAAACTTATCAAGATTTCTATCATAGTGATGAGAAGGACCATTAATCATCATGTTGATACTGCTTGATATTCTCAAACCATAGACTGTAATGTGACTAAATTAAAATACTGAAACATGTGTACAACACGTGTGCACATGAGCAACACATGCACCCATTAAAAATTAATTTTTTTAAAAATATTCTTTTTAGTTGGGCAAATTTATAAATTTTTAATACTCAAAAATTTAAGACATACATGTACATGTACATGTATACAGTAGTCAGTAACATCACATGTATTTTAGTCAATTACCTTTTCAATAACATGCCGAGGATCATAATTATCATCCATTATAATTTCTTCTGTTGGATCAACTGAACATTGTGATGGACGCCACCTAATAACATACACCTGTCTCTGTCGATCATACTTCTTCTTCTCTGGCTCTAATAAAATTAAATACATAGCTTAAAGTACTACAGTATACTATGCACAATAGAAATGTTGAGATATACTGACGTTTCAATTGTTCCAGATATATTCCCCCACTAGCATGAATAAGCTGATCATCAAGAAATAGGTTACCAGTGGACACTCCCCACTTCTCCCGTAATCTCATTCTACACAAGAAGTCACATGACAGTCACATGATGTACTTATACTTGTCTAATTCAAGAACACAGTCAATTCCTTGTACTTTTGCTTCTTCAATAATTTGTTTCTTAAATTCTCTCACTGGTGTACCCTTAGTAACAATAGACTCCATCATAAACTCACAAAACTACAAATACATGTAAACTACAGTACAAAATTATAATAATGAAATATTCATACCTCTGTGTTGTTAACTTGCAATAAATATAATTTAATTTTGCAGTAGCCTCCTTCTTGTACTGCTCTACCTACATGAAGTCTTACTATCAACTAGGAGACCAAATAATAAAATATAAATGAAAATATTATAAATTAAATTTTAAAAGGAAAGGAAAGGAGAGAGAGAGAGAGAGAGAGAAAAGTACTAAAGTAGCACATACCATATAGCGGGAAATTTTTGTGGCCTAAGATTTTCATGGATCCGTCTAAAAATCAATTTCGTGGCTTTAATTTTTGTGGTTTTCTACTTATCAGCTATCTTGAACCGTATTACATTGATTTTGCAAATTTTATTTTCGTAAATTTTGAAAAAACGTGAAATCCACGAAAAATTCCCGCTATATGGTAAAACTATACCTCTGATCCAGATGTAATATATTTTAATGTTCCATCCAGCTCCTTCATTTCATTTGCTTTAGAACCACTAATTCTGTACACTATAAAACCAGTAGGTTGTACACCAATCAATGGAGCTAGCTCCTCTTTCAATTGAGCTAGCGTTATTCTCCTGTCAACTTCTACCTGTAAATCTGTACGGAATAATGTAACGTTCTTTTATGATGTTAAAATTCTCACTTCTTTCTTTTCCTCTCTTTTGTTCATTCATTGATATAATCTTCATT